ATATGCTTGATACTGTCTCTTTATGGATTCAGCTTACAGAATAATGAGATAGCTCCCCGAGAGCCTCCAGAGAGGTGACAGGTGACCAGATGAAGTTTGTTTTCTTTGTTTTTCAGTTTCAAAAGCACATGGGTTCAGACTTATTTGATATGCTTTACTCTATTGCAGTTNCCATTAACTCCAATAGATTAGAACGGTAGGAAGATACCTTTCTTGTGCACACAGATAGGGATCGTCTGTTTTTTTATTTTAATATAGATATGAGCATTTCTTATATATTGCATGAACAGCTCAAAGGTAGGTACCATCATTTAGTTATGCTCCCTGCCTTAAGAGTTTTTGCCCTTGTTACACAGACCTCCCTTCTCGCACTCAGTTGTCAGCTGAAATGCCACACCACAGCGCCTTTCGTAATCCCCTCTGCATCCACCTGCCCCCAGCCCCATATCCCAGCCACTATTACATTTCTCCATTATATTGTCTCCATACACTTACTATATGTGAAATGATCTTGATATTCACTATCTAATCTGCTTCCCCTTCCTAATCCCCAAGCTGCTCATGAGAGCAGGACCTCATCTGCCATGTTCACCATTCACGCTGCCCAGAACTCAACACTTAAGGAACGTTAATTCTTCACAGGGGTCACTGTGGACACTGCATTAATTCCAACTGCTCAAAAGCATATTTGAAATATTTGATTTGCTTTTAAGGTCTTGGTCTCTGCCTGTAACACCTTTTTTTAAATCTTCAGCAACTACAAATTTGCCAGTAGATTTGATTTTGAAACAGACATCTAAGATCAGATTAATAATATAGACAGTAAAATTTAAATTAAAAAATGAAGCAAGTCTGTAAAGTGTGCATGAATTTTAACTGACTATGAAAGGAATCCAAAAGAACTGCAGAAATGTTCTGAATGGTGGTGACCTTACTGGTACCCTGTCCAGGCGACTGGGTAGCACTCATTGGAATGTGAAAGTGCTTGTGTGTGTTGATCATCAAAATCAGCCTTATGAATCTACCCCTTGTAGATTAGCCAAATACAACCGACACAGTGTAACCACAAGCTTAATGCTACCATTTCTACCATTTGGTCCAGCCTGTAAACTACTGATGGTGCTTTAGAGAGTGGATTAGGCCTGCTCTTTAGGCCACAAGCGCCACATCCCAGCAATTTAAGAAGGAGCTCCACCAGCACAGGCTGCAGACTGCCAACAGCACAGCAGACTCTGTCCTTGCGGTGTAGTGGACAAGCACCAAGCAGCATCCAACTTCTCTAAACATCCGCCAAGTCCTCTGCCCATAGGCACTTCTAGGTGTCAAAGGGGTAACAGCGATCCAAGGGTGTGGGGTGCAGTTATTCTCTACTGATGATTCTAATACTTTCTTACAGTTCCTGGCAAATGAGACACTGCTCTCCCAAAACCCTTCAGAAAGCCTCTCTCAAAGTTACTCTGGCCACCAGACAAAAAATAGGGATGCAGATAGATTTTGTGCCCTGTTCTAAGTATATCCCTTTAGGAAACACAGGATGCTCAAATTCTTTCAAGAGGCAGGAGCCTCACCATCTAAAAAAAAAAGCTGTTGCAAATCTGAGAGGAGATTCTGTGAAGGCACCCAGAAAGATCTTTACAGAAAATTGAGATCTTTGTCTATGTTGAGCAGCCCACCAAAAGCACACAAATGCCTCTGTGGTGAGGCAATTTGGTGCAACCGCAGAATAGTTTGGTGCCGTTCTGGAACTCTGAGTATGTTCTCATGGCTATTCTCGGAATACCAACAGCACAGAACTTGGAGGCAACACAAAGGTAAGTTCCTGGAGGTGATCTTTTAGGAAGATGACAGCTCCTGTGAACTTGCTGGGGGAGGAGTCAGCTAATAACTTGGCCTTGGCAGGATTTTCTTTTTTATGTACTTCCTGCATGCAGTTGATGCGTTTGTAAATACTTGGAAAGAGCTAACTTGGTAAACACTGAGCACTCAGTTGCTGCAAAAGGGAGCTGGGCTCTCTGAGAGCAGAGCTGCTGTTTTGCCCATCGTTGTGTTTAATTAGGATAACGACATGTATTGTTTCCATAACCAGCGATGCCACCAGCTTTCACCCTCAGCTGGCCCAGGACACACATGCTGGCATGTTTTCAAGTAGTTCCATTTCTGCAGTCTATGTACAAGAATGCAGCATTCCTCTGGGCCAGTAGAATCTGCATCAGCTGTGAATGGCATCTAAGCTGTCCTTGCAATGGTGCCATGCTGCATATTATTCTGATGTTTTGGCTATGCAAAGAAGTGCCAAAGGCACCAACCACATTGCTCAGTGTTCCCAGAATAGATGGGTAACAAATGTCAGGGGCCTATCTCAGCAGTCTACCCCAATAGCTGCTTCCCAGATCTGAGAGCAGAGCTCTGAGCTAGGCCCTTTGGGCCAATGTACCAGGCTGGCCCTGGCCCTCAGAAACCAGACCTTAAAATAACTGGCCAGGTATGCTCTGCTCTTCTGCCCAGGCTGAGCGAGCCCTGCAGAATCTACATAAGAGTAGCTGCCCCATCAGGGTGGTTTCAGGCAGCCTATTGATGGTTCTTCCTATTAATGGCCCAATTTGTAATTTAAAAAGGAAATTAACCTTAACCTTGACTCTCTGGGGCTAAGCTCATCATTACCTAACTCATCTTGCTCTTATAATGACATTTCTGGAGGGCACCAAGCTAATGATATTCCTAAAAGAGGATGAAGGAAGCTAACTATGTCTCCCTGAGACAAAGCAGTCCTGCACATCTCCCTGGTGAGTCGGATACAGAGCTGCATCAAACCCATCTATGCCCAGAACCGCCACTGCAAAGAACGCGGTGTCAGGCCCTTCTCCTGCAACCAAGCCTTGGCCAAGATTCTCTCCAAACAATGGGAAAAGCATGAGATTTGGAGTCCTAACCCTGCTAGCAAGTTCTTTGAACAAATCCTTTCCCCTTGGGCCTCAGTCTTACCGTTGAGTGTGTGGGGGGTGGTAGTGGCAGGGGCAGTGGTGGGAGGGGGGGTTACAACAATACCTGTTTAACGTGCTTGAAGAGCTGCTGTGGATGAGAGAGCCTACAGGTGCTGTATCAGCTGTCAGGTGTCCACCCCTCATGGTTTCCCCACCCCATCCATCCAGGGGCCCCATGTGGGAGGTTCCTTACCAAGCGGCACAGCGTAGGAATAATCTGGAGTTTACAGCAAGTGCCCAGCAGAGCAGCTGCATTATCTGGCATTTCTGCAGGAGACGAAAATCATAGTTACTGTCCAACCAGCCACTGGATGGTACCAAATTTATATTTTAGTACTTTCCCGCCAGCCAGGCAAGGGAGGTGCTCAGCAACTGTTGAATAAATGAATGAATGGTGCTGAATGTGCAGTGAAGACATTTCTTTTTTTTTTAGATTTATTTATTTATTTATTTATTTTGGTGGCTGGCTGGTATGGGGATCCGAACCCTTGACCTTGATGTTATAACACCACACTCTAACCAACTGACCTAACCAGCCAGCCCTTCCTTTTTGAAAACAGATGTAGGAGCCCAGTCACCAGCTCTGTCTCAACAGAAGATATTCTTTAACATTCAATTTGCCAGTCAGGAAGAACTGCACAGACTCTGGGGAAAGGGAATCAGCATGGAAAAGTAGAAGGACCTGTGATCTGGTGACAGAGCTGTGTTTGAGCCCCTCCACATTTTCAGCTGTGGCCTTGGGTACCCTCTCTGAGCCTCAGTTTCCCCATTTGACTGACCATAGATTTTTTTCTTTATTGCATATGTCAGAGCACTGCATAAACTATACAGGGCTCTATCCGTGTCACTGATTGTTTGGGGAGGAAGATACAGTGTGGCCTGACCAAAAGGTGGCCCAACGGAAATTCTGAGGCCCAGAGCACCAGTAGCAGAGGGAGCTGAAGCAGAGCTGTGCAAGGCTGGGACTGCACCAGAAGGGCCCCACAAGCCCCAGGGAAAGGAAATTCAAGTCAGTGTCATTCGAAACAGATAGTAAATCCCTCCCAGGGTAGAACAGATGCAGCTTCTAAAAGGACCCCAGTACAGCCTTTGAGCTGAAAAGGCAACGAGTCACCTGCTGGATCATCTCACCAAGGGACTGCTTATGAGCTCACTCATCACCTGCATCCATGGGCAGCCTTATTTATAAAAAGTAGCCATGTTGCTGAGGCTGTGACCCAGAGAGTACAGCAGAGCATAGCTTGTCCCCAGGAGAGGGTGACAGCTGCTAGGAAGACAGGCAGCTCCTGGCGATGGTCCTGCCAGAGAACCCCCTACCATTGCATTCCAGTTGTGTGTGCATTTGCTACAGAGAAGGTCCACAGCTCTCAACAAAGTCTCAAGGGGGCCCTTACCCCAAACCAGGAGGATGAAGAGGAAAGTGTATGTGGCCTGGGGGAAGACCACAGGGCTAGGAGGACAGCTACGTCGAGCCACTGCCACAGCCCCCTCACCCGTCCCTGCTCCCTCCCCTCACTGTTCCGGGTGGCTCTTGAGCCCCATTGAATCATCCTCCTCACCCCTGATTCTTGGAACTATGTTAGTTCCACGTCATTCAACTGCTCATGATTTTAAGCCTGGTCTTAGGTGCTGGGGCACAGGGATGGAACAACAGCATCTGGTCACAGAGCAGACCCACTAATTCTACTACTTGGCTCTGATTTCCCAGCAGGCGAGGACTAGGTCATTTCTCTACCTCATCACCTAGCAGTGCTTAAAATATAAGCATGCTATATGTTTCTTGAACCGAAATGAATTATTTTGCTTGCTCTTTCATGTACTAATTCACTTTACAAATGAGGTCCAAGAGGTTCAGAGCTCATGACGCACTTAAGGTCACAGAGTGGTGGAGGAAGCTTTCCAGGAGACAGGCCAGGTGTGGACTGAAGTGTTGAAAACAGCTAAAAGCACTAGAAAGCCAAACACCAGGTTAGGGCCCAAGAAGCACCCATTTTCTGTTCCAGCACTTTCCCCAGATTCTAAGGAGGGAAGACTCTACCATGTAGGAGGAAGAGGTCAACTGAGAGGGGCCAAGGATTAAATGGAAGAACTTTCCACCAACCTGACCTCTGTTGTGACTGACGAGTCAGTGAGACCACAGTCCAGAGAGGTAGGAAAGGCAGCCCTGCTTTAGAAACTGGCTGCAGAGACCACTCAGAGGAGACTGGTCAGGAATATAGAATTGCATGGGGTACAGTTTGATGAAAATACTCAGGCCCAGACCAGTGTCTCTACACAACCCAGGTGCATTGGATTTCACTAAACCCAGAAATCCTATAAAGTCAACCATTGGAACCTGAGTTGCACAAAATGCCTTCCCCAGGGAATCAACAGCAAAGCAGCAATTTAGCTCAACTACAGGGCTCAAGTGCTGGTCCCCACAGAAAGTTCCCCCACTTTAGAAGTAAGCAAAGGACAACAAATTAGTTCCAGCACAGAGTTTAAGTGGTGGGAACAGCAAATAATCCAACACAGAACTGAAAGAAAAAACAGAGTACCCACAACCAGAGACAAAGTTTGATATTAACTAGTAAAGGTCTCATTTCACCAAGGAACACCTATAACACCTAGAAGGACTGCAAGTCCCCTGGACTACCAAGCCAGAAAGAGGGGACAACTATGCACACGGCCAGCACCACGGGGCCTGCCTGGGGTCCAGAGGTATAGAGCTGGTGACTGGACCCTCCTCCCACAACCAGGCACACTGCCATTGCCACCACCAACTAGGTAAGGAGCATGCCAAAAGCATCACCTCCATGTGGGTGGCACACCACAGCCACCACAATAACCACAGCTGCCGCGAAAGCAGCTAGATGCCACAACCATCATACAGATGGTCCGCCAGCCACTGCCACAATCATCGTGCAGATGGTCTGCCAGCCACTGGAGCGCATTGACACAAGGAGAGTCACCAGCAGAGACCAAAGAAAAGAAGAGAATGTCTCTCTCCACAAAGCCCATTCCAGAGTGACAGAAGAAACATCTACTCTATGATAATATTGGGGGACCTGAGCACACCTCTCAGCTTTGGAGTCAACAAAGCAACAGAGTAACCATTATTCTGAAAGAGGGAGAGAAGAAATCTAGGCTAATTAGAGGGGGGAGGAGGGAGGGAGGGGGGTGGGGAGAGCTTGAACAGGGGCATAAAGAATAAGTATGATTTGTAACAATATATATGCTAGTAATACTGATTTGACCAACATCTCAATGTTGAACCCCCAAAATATGTATAATCAATTATGATTCTATAGAAATTATAAAACAAACAAAAAGAAACGCTGCAGAGACTGTGGGCTGCACCCAAAGACCTCACTACATTGAGCTTCCAGCCCAGAAACAGCAGGTTATGGGTCAACCCCAAGTGGCTGCTTGTGTGCAAGATTGCGAGAATTTGAAGCTGTGTCTAGGCTCAAGGAGAGGGGGACTGTGGTACCTTCCTAGTGCTGGCCCTGGGCTTCGTAATTGGCCTCTGATCCAGCCTTTGACAGAAATGTTGCCATAAGTGATAGAGTATGTGAAGAGAAGGCCTCTCACCAGGCTGAGAACTCTGACCTGCGGATGGCCCCTGACATGCTGCCTGTGCTCAGGCTCTGACGAGAACCTGCCTTAACTCTGCCAGAGTCTCGAGTGGAGCTCCACGGGGCTCTGTCTCATCTCCTGCCCAGTCCAGCAGTCAGAATCTTCATCCGTGACTTGGGACAAGGCGTAGAGCACACATTCATCAGCCCCTAGAGCTGCGAGAGACATTCTCTCTGAGAAATTCTTTAAAACCTGAAGCCTCCTGGGCCTCTGGTTCTGTGTGGTGCTGGGAGGAGCCCTGAACGTATGGGGACCTCAGCGTCCTGACTAGGATGGCCTTGAAGGGAAGAGGTGGGACCTGGAGGCCGGGCTGCTTTGCCATGTCCGGCCTGAGAGGGACAGGAAGCCCAGCTTCCTCATGGAGGACAACCACCCCTGACACCGCAGTCCCCCGGCATGGAGGCATGGAGGGTTTGGGATGGGAGTGGTGGAGTGGTAGCGGGCAGGGCCCCCTGCGACAAGTGCACGGAGCAAGCGACGCGGGCCGCTCGCACTGTGCCTGGCTTTTGGAAGATGCTCTTGTGTTGGCCCCCGAGGAGGAAGGAGATGTGCTCCGGGGGGTGGCTCGCAGTGGACGGACAGTCCCTCCTCCACGCCTCCCGCCTCCCAGACCCGCGTGTACCCAGTCCTTCACAACTATGATCATTGTGCGTCCCCCAGAAGCACGTACAGTCAGCCCTCCATATCCGCGGGCTCCACATCTGTTCCACAACAGATCAGAGATATTCGGGAGAAAAAACAATACAAATAACTACACAACAATAAAAATAATACAAATTAAAAACAATACTGTATAACAACTATTTACACAGCATTTACATTGTATTAGGTACTGTAAGTAATCTAGAGATGATTTAAAGTATACAGAGGATGTGCGCAGGTTATACGCAAATACTGCACCATTTTATATCAGAGACTTTTATATCAGATTTTAGTATCCACAGGGTCCTGGAACTAGTCTCCCACAGATAACAAGGGACGACTGTTATACAGTAAGAGAAGCAGCCTCAAAGTGACAGCAGCCATTTCTTTTGTTTTCTTTTTTC